CAATGTCATTTATTACAGAGGCCATCTTTCTTCCAGTGAAGATATTTGGCACATTTCTCAAAGTATGGTGGCTAAGTATGTCTGGAATTGTTTTCTCATCATCTTATCTATTCTATGATACCTGGGTATGTTTTTTGCCAGATTGTGCTGGTTTTATCACAGTAGCATCGTAATATAATTTCCTGTCAGGAATTGTGATGCCTCATGCCTTGTCTTTGTTGTCCAGAATTGCCTTTGCTATTCTAGATCTCTTATGGTTCCAAATGAATTCTAGGAATACCTTCTCTAATTCTGTGAGATACACTGTTGGAATTTTTACCAGAACTGCATTAAATCAATATAATACTTTTGGAGTTATAGCCATTTTCACTATATTGTTCTTCCTACCCAAAAGCAAGGAATATGTTTCATTTTCTGATATCTTCTTCAATCTCCTTTTTCTGACTACTGCAGTTTTCAATATAGAGATCTTTTCTTTGTTAGACTGAGTCCTAAATATTTCATTATTTGGGTGCCATTTTTTAAATATATGAAATTGAACTCAGGACCTTGCGCTTGCCAGGTAGGCACTGTGCCACTAAGTTACCTCCCTGGTTCCATTGGATGCCATTTTGAAAGGTGTTTTTTCCCTAACTTCTCTCTCAGTGAATTCATTTTTCATGTACAGTAAAGCTAGTTTTCTGAGTGTTGACATTGTATCCAGTTATGCTGCTAAATTTGGCTATTTAATCTAGAAGTCTTTTGGTGGAGCTTTTGGGGTCTTCTATGCAGAGTATCATGTCATTTACAAATAATAATTTAACTTCTTCCTTTCATATACTTATTCTTTATCTTGTCTAATTGTTCTAGATAAGGTTTCCAGAACTATACTGAATAAGGGTAACAATGGACATCCTTGTCTTGTTCCTGAATTTAGAGTGTAACATTTCAATTTTTGTCCATTTGATATGTTGTTGGCTGTTGGTTTGTCATAATTGGCCTTTCACAGAAGGAGATAAAGACGGTTTATTTTAATTTTCTGTAGGGATTTTATCACAAATAAGTGTCAAACACCTTTTATGAATCTATTGACATAACCATATAGTTTTTGTTAATGGCCTGTTAATATGGTATGTTATATTTATTGATTTGCATATGTTGAAATATACTAGCATTCCTGGGATGAATCTCACTGGGTCATGGTGTATAATCTTCTTGATTTGCTGCACTGTTTGTCAGTATCTTATTGAGAATTTTTGCATCTATATTCATTAGGGAGAATGGCATGTAATTCTCTTTCTTGGACATCCTCTGGTTTTGGTATTTGGGTAATGCCTGCTTTCAGGAATGAATTTGAGAATATTACTTCCCTTTAAATCTCAAAGAATTGAAAGGTAGCAGTATTAGGTCTTCTCTAAATTTGTTGTAGAACTCAGCATTGGATCCATCAGGATCTGGGCTATTCTTTTTTGGTAGGTTTGTAATTACATCTTCAATTTCATTAATAGTTTATTTAGATTTTTATGTACTCTTGGTTTGGCTTCGGTAATACATATGTATCTAGAAATCCTTCCATTTCTTCTGCATTTTCCATCTTATTGAAATACAAGATCTCAGAGTAGGTATAGACGATTTTTTGCATTTGTGCAGAATCTGTTGTGATTTTACCCTTTTCTTTCCTAACTGAATGAATTTCAATCATTTCTTTCCCTTGTTAATAAGGTTGACTAAGGGTTTGTTGATTTTATGTAATCTTTCAAAGAACCAACTCTTTAATTATTTATATTGTTTTCTTAGTCTCCATTGCTTTAATTTGTGCTCTGATCTGAAAAATTTACTCCCTCATACAAGCTGACTTGCTCTTTTTCTAGAAACTTGAGTTTGAACCTTAAATTGTTATTTGGGCTTGCTGTTTTACTGATATCAATATTCACCAGTATACAGTTCTTTCATAGGACTGCTATCATTGTTTCCTATAAGTTTTGGTATGTTGTAATGACATTATTTCATTATAGAAACTGCCTAATTTCTTCTTTAATTTCATATGTCAAAGATTTGTTCAGGAGGGTGTTTATGAAGTTCTTATGATTTACTTTGCCATTGATTTCCAATTTCACTAAACTAAGGTCTGATAAAATACATGGGATAATTTCAATTCCTTTGTATTTACATATGCATGTTCTATGAGCTAGTATGTGGTCTATTTTGGACCATGTTCCATATGCAACACAGAAGAATGTGTATTCTGATGTTGTGGGGTGGAATACTCTGTAGATGTCTACTAAGTCCATTTGTTAAGTTTGGTTTGGTTCTAATATTTCATTGTTAATTTTTTTTTCTAGTTGATGTGTTTGTGACAGGGGATATTGAGGTCCCCCATTTCAATTGTGTTAGAGCTTGATATTTCATGTCCACTAATATTTGTTTTGTATAGTTGTGTAAACTAGTATTTGGCACATATATATTAAGGACTGTTGTTGCTTCCTCTTTGATTGTTCCCTTTACAAAGATGTAGTAAGCTTCTTTGTAACACTTAATCAATCTTGGCTTGAAATCCACTTTTTCTGAAAATGGAATAGCTACCCCGGCCTTATTCTGGGTTCCTGTCACATGGAATATTATTTTCCATACTTTGACTTTCACTCTATGAATTATTTTTGAACTAAATGTGTTTCTTATGTACAGCATATTGTTGAATTTTGTTTCTTGATCCATTCTACCAGTCTGTTTTTGTGATAGTTGAATTGAGACAATTACCATTCATGGTTATAACGGATATACATTGACTTATCCTTGTCATGTTATTTTCCTGTTGTTGGCTTCCTGTTTTTCCCTTCTGTTTGTTTTCCTTGCCTGGTGGATTAATTCTGTTGGGGTTCATGGAGTTGTATTCCTTGTTATCTATTTCTAGAATGTCCTTCAAAACATTTTTGAGTGCTTGTTTGATGTTCTTGAGTTTGCTCAGGTGTTCTTTGTCATGGAAGTATTTTATTTCTCCATCAATCTTTGAAAGGTAGTATTGCAGGCCACATTAATGTGGGTTGTAGGTTGTTTTGTTTGGGGGGCTTAAAGTACTTCACTCCAAGTTCTCCTAGACTTGAGAGTTTGCACTAAGAAGTTTACTGTGTTGCCAGGGGTTTTTTCTTTATTGGTGATTTGCTTCTACTAACAGCTTTTAATATTCTGTTCTTCTGTCAAATTTCTGGAATCTTAATTATTATATGCCTTATTGTAGATTTTTTTTGATCATGGCTATTTGATCATGACTTATGCCTTATCTGTGTGTCAAATTCTTTTCCTGTCATGGTAGTATTCTACCATGACATATCTGAACAGGTTATTTATGTCATTTGCAATATCCCTGATTTTTCATTGACTCCAGTCAGTCTGATGTTATTCTCTGTATAGTCTAGAACCTGCTGGATTGATTTCTCTTGCTACTTTTAAGAAATCTTTTCATCATTGCTAACTGCAATCCCAGCTTCTAATCTGAGATTTTGTCCTTACATTGGCTAATTCTGCTACATATATTTTCAATGGAGTTTTTAATCTCCAGGATATCAGTTGAATCTCTTTTATGGTTTTTATTTATTTTCTATGTTCAGCATTCATGGTTTCTATCATTTTCATAAGGTCCTCTATTTTTCTTTTATTAGTATGTGTTTTAAAGTTACTAATTCTGTCTTTTATTATGATCACCATCTCTGTGATACCTTAGAATTATTTTTGATCTGATTTTTTCTAGAGTCTGTTTCATTTGCTTTGTCACTTCTGCTGTTACCAGCTTAGAGTCCAAGTGGGTGGCTTTTAGATTGTTCTACCTCAGTGCCTCCTGTGTTTGCCTTTTGTGAGCTGGACATCTGAGGCACATCCTAAGTTTCTTGTCATTTACTCTTCTTTCATTTTTTTTACATTAGTTCCAAGTTGATGCTTGTAAATTACCTATGGTGAGCAGCATTACTGCTAGTATTTAGAATCCTTAGGAAATGACCACTCTTCAGAGATGTCTTCCAGGATATTCCATGAATGCTCAACATAGAAAAGAAATGAAAACCATAAAACAGATTCAACAGATTTGGATTTTGAGTGTGCTGCAAGATCCTACCTCTTCAATTTATTGAAGGTAAATAGTTACTACCTACTTGCATCTCATTCTTTGGTACTGGTCTCTAGTATTTTTTATGATCCTTAAGCAATCTCATTCTTGGTTTACCAGGAAGAACAGCTGATTAGAACAATTTTATCATTTTGGGTAAAGTGGTAGAATCAGCAATACTAAAAGGAACAAACCTGGCCTAGAAAATATAAACTTGCAATAATAATTTTCTACATTTAACTATATAAATTTTATTTATGGTTATACAACAAAATCTAGAATGAACCAGAACTTTTTATGCAGTAAGTCCTCAATATGGCAATTTTACTGTTTGGGGAGAAAATTTTAAAGGAAGTATGGGAAAAAATAAAGAAATAGAAGAAAAAGAGGCATTAAACAAGGTTGGAAGACAAAGGTGGATCACACAAACTTTAGGAAACTGATGCAAAAGACGGGAAGGAAAGTGAGAAGGAAGAAACAAAAACAAGAACAGAGCATAACAACAACAAACTAGAACATAACAACAACAACAAACTAGAAACTACATTCACACTCTTACAAAAATAAAAACAATGAAGAAAAAACAAAAAAGAGAAAAGAAAATGCCCACTTCAAAGTGTGTCTCTAGTGTCACTGGTAGACAATGGGAGCAGAATACATATCCTCACTGATTAACCCCAGCAAGCCAACATTAACTTTATGGTGGGGGAAGTAGATAATCCCAGGAGGCCTTCACCTTTCTTTCCACTGAAGTTTAGGCTGGAAGGATATCTGTTCAGCCAGCAGCAATCCACGCGCCTCCTGACAGTTTGACCACTAGATGGAGCCAGCAGTTGCTCTGAGTGCTGAGCTTAGTTGGTCCCTTTCCAAAATAGCTCTGGTCAATTGCCCTCCCCTGAGAGATGTCTGAACCTAAATGACTCACCAGCCATTGAAGTTTGCTGTATTCACTGCTGTGTTTCACTGGTGTATTTCTCCATGGAGGTCTCTGGGATCACCAGTAGTCTAGTGCACCTACAGTTTCGAGCAGCCCCTCCCATGCAATGAGTCAAAGATCAGGAAGAAAACGCTGCCACCTCCTTCTTCATCGAAGTTTCTAATCCACATTTGTGAGCACATGAGATTTTAGGGAGGAACACTTACCTATGAAAGCATAAGGCACGCTTTAAATGAAGCGCCCTTCAGTTCTGGTCTCCTAGCCCTGAAAGTCGCCTCCCTGCCTGGCCACTGCTCTCCTGGTCACCTGCTACCTCTTTCCCAGCACTACGCCTCTCTGTCTTCCGTGTCCCCAATTCCACCTCCCCAGTGTCTCCTCTGAGCCCACCCGCTTTACTTGTCCCTCATTTTTTCCCTCATTCTCCTCTCTGTCCGCTCTGCCTTCCTCGTCTTGCACGCTCCCAGCTGTTGGCATGAAGACGCCTCTATTCTGCTAAAACCGCTTCCAGGCCCAGGCCCTCTACACCATCTACACCGCAGGCTGCAGGTCCGCGGGTCCCGGTGTGCACGCGCAGGACCCGACGCGCCACTAGCGCGGGCACGCGCAGACCTGGCCAGCAGCAGACAGCCAGGACTCACTGGACCCGAAGAGGAGCAACAGACGAGGCGACTGAAGGTCGTGGCCCCGCGCTCCGGGCGTGAAGTTTTCCTGGCTCTCGTGGGAAAGCGCAAGGTCAGCCCAGGCACGGCTTCCACTTCGGCGACCGAGTTGGCAGTCTGCCAGGCAGTGCCAGGCATTCTAAATTAAATCGGCCCAATTAATTTTAATAGCAAGAAATGACCAGTACCTACCCCAGGCGGCCTCCTTAAAGGAAATCCCGGGTCCACACAGCGGAGTGGACCCAGTGTCCCTCAGGGATCGGACCCCCAACAGGAGAAGCTGCACTAAGTGAACCTGATCCCGGAGTGCGGGCCCCGCCCCGGGCCCGCCCATCGTTCGTGTTTCCCCGCCCACCACTCCCGTCTCTCCGCCCAGCGCTCGTGTTTCCCAGCCCAGTGCTCGTGCCTCTCCGCCCACCCCTAATGTTTCCCCGCCCACCGTCCTCGTTTACCCGCCCAGTCCGTGCTTATCGGCTGCGCGCGCAGTTTCCTGCAGACCCGGAAGTGCGTTCTGTGGCATGAAGGTCCAAGTGTGGCGTGTGAGTTTCTCTCTCTCCAGGTTGTCCGCGCTACGTGGTTCCCCCCTCTCCCTGTCAGGATCTAGGTCCCTGGAGAACTTCAAGGCCCTGCCACGCCCCCTGCTCCCCAGTAAATTCGGATGGCGCTGTAAGGGCCGCATGGGCCCTGCGGGGCGGAGGCGCTCTGGGCCAGTCCTGCCCACCCGGCTCGGGCCGCGGAGGCCTACCCCCTGCACCCGGGTCGCCCGTTGCTTTCCCCGCGGCTGGCGCCGTCCTCACCATGTTGCCTTCCCTGCAAGTTTCTTTCTGATCTTCACAGTCCACTCTGCATCCTGGGGACAACAAGACTCCAGAGCATAAGAGAGAGCTAGAAGATGGGAGCGGGCCTGGGCTTGCTCCCAAGTGGTGCAGTGCTGAGGTGTTTTGCAAACAACTCTTCCTTTCCCAGGAGTCCTGTTTCCATGATCAGCCTAGGACTCAGCCTTAGTAATATTTAAAGTTTATTTAGTGTACAGTACTGGCCACCCAGATTGTCCTGCATTTTTGAGGGCTAGCGTCAGCTTGCAATTCGTGGAGGGGAAGGATGCGCTATCCCTGGATTTGGTACAGGCTGAGATTTTGTCCTGACTGCGAATTCATTGCAGCTGGCTCCCAACTGCTGCTGGGTGTTGGGGCTTCACCAGGAGGGTAGCATGCTCTGAACAAGTGTCAGGGAAGTATCTTGTGCTTCCTGTAGGAGTTTCATATCACTGCATCTCCATCTCAGCACTGTGGGCAGCACAAGACCCATCTTTCCACATGGTGAGGTTCCGTTCTGTGTATATAGCTGTGTTACTGGTAGGGAATATGTTCATTCTGCACGTTAAACTGTGCTTTTGACTCTCGTTACCTAGGAAAGAAGCCTGAAAGGGGAGAGAAAAGGGTTCGAAAATGGCTGTTATGGAGGTAAAGTATCATTTGCTTGACAGTGTGGCCCTCCTCTCTGAAGTGCCTGACACAGGACTGCTAAGTGGAATCATGCAGCCTTCTGTGTTTTCTTCTGTCCTCAGCCTCCCTCATCTCCACTAAGACTCCATGTCCGTGGTCCCAGGAAGTTCTGTTGTTTCATATCAAGAAGTTTCATTGGCCATGATTGTGGAAATTACTTGTCTTTTTTTTTTGTCTTTTCAGAAAGTTAAGGTTTTGTTGGTTAATGTGTCCCCTGTGTCTTATTTATCTCTATTCATTTTCTTTTTCCTTTATATTATTTTTTTCTTTGATTAAAATGTAAAGTTTATTGGTGTGTTTGTCCTGTGTTCTGGGAATAAAACACATACACTTCTTAGTGTTGTTTTTACTACATTCTGTAAGTTTCAGCATGTTTGTTTTCATTTTACTTTTACTAAAGATGTTTTCTGGAATCTTTTCTCACTTTTAAAATGTTGGTTATTTGAGACGGAGTTTAATTTTCACATATTTGTAGGGTTTGTATCTCCTCGAGTGTTGATTTCTGCATTCATTCTATCGTACACAGGAAGAAACTTAGAATAATTTGAAGTTTCTAAACTCATTAATGATTTTTTTTTAAACCTAGCCTGTGGTGTATCAAATACATGTTCCCGGTGTGTGTTAGGGTTAGTAGTTTCCCCTGTGTTGGGTAAAATGCTCTGTACAGGTTTACCAGATAGCTGGTGTGGTGGTGTTTATTTCTTGATACTCTATCTGGCTATTCTGTCCGTAAGTGATGTGGAGCACAAAGTGTCCCCCAGGTATTGTGCTGCTAATTCTGTCAGTGTTTCCTTCATATCTTGGAATGTTAATGTGAGGTCCATGCTTGTAATTACGTCTTCTGGGGAACCGCCCCATTTGTAGTTATAGAAAATGGTTCTTTTTCTCTTAATGACAGTTTGCATCTTAAAGGCTGTGTGTTAAAATATAAAAGTAGCCACCCTGCTTTCTGTGCATTTCCATTTGGATTTTTTTCCCCATCTTTTCACTTTTAGCCTGTGTGAGTCCTTTCAACAGAAGTGAATCCTTGTTTACAGTGTGTAATTGCAGTTTCCATTTTTCTTCTCTTCAGTCACTGCATGTCTTTTTTTTTAAAGAAAATTCAGGTGTAGTTCAGGTGGCCTTGAACTCTCTTAGCCCTGGTTGACCTCTAACTTGCAGCAATCCTCCCTCCTTGGCCTCCCAAATGCTGGGACTACAGATGTGCACCACCATATCCGACATTGTACGTTTTTTAATTCAGCATTTATTTCATTCAAACTGGGCGCAGTTATTCATAGTGAAGGACTTTCATATCTTTACCTGGAGCTTTGTGCATTTTTATGCTCTTCTTTCATTTCAGCCTCATGGTCTCGCTCTAGAAATTCGTGGGCTGGGCAAGCTGTTGCATAAGAGCAGTCCCATCTACTCTGGAGGCAAAGGCAAAGGATCACAGGTGTGAGGCCAGCCTGGGCAAATGAGCAAGACCCTATCAAAAAAAAAAAAAAAAGAATGAAGAAGATATAATAAGTTTATTTCAGGCAGGTTTAGTGGTAATGAACTCCTTTTTTATCTGGCCACTCTCAGTTGTTCTGTTTTTGAAGGGCAGTTTTGCCTGGTTAGTATTGTTAACTAGCAATGTTTTCCTTCCACACCGTGAATGTACCATCCACTGCATGTAGCTGGCAGAGTTTCCAACAAGAGATCACCTAGCTCTCCTGGCAGTGCACTCTTTCTCTTACCACTGTCCAGATTCATTTTTGTCTCTGGCTTTCCATGGTTGCATTATGATATTGTTCCCTGCACATCTCTTAGATTTATTCTTGGATATTCCTAAGCTTCTTGGATTTGTGTGCCTTTCTCATTGGAGAAATTTGGGGCAATCTTAAATCAGATAGGCTCTCTATACCTTTCTTTCTTCCTCTTCTGAACTGCATCTGATGGTGTTCCTTGCTTGTCTTCATTTTTGTTTCTACAGGGCTTAGATGTTTTCTGAGTTTCTTACAAGAAACTTGGTTACTGTGTTGCTATTAAATCCTTGTTCCCATGAGGAGGGTAACATCTGGAGCTACATGCTGCTCTATCTTGCTTACCTCAGTCCTTCAGAACAGGTGCATAATTTCTTCTCGTGAATCAAGCAGCGTCCTTAGGCGGTATGATATGTTTGCTTATGGAAACATAAGATGTTCCATGTGTATATGTCATGTGTATGTGTGTTCAATGAGAATCACTAAGGCAAAATTACTTTGACTGTGCTTACTTGCTGTTTTAAGTAATATTCCTTTTCTAAGTTGTATCCATGTTATCTGTTAGATTTTTAGCGAACTTAACTCTTTCATGTCTTTTCTGCCTTCTTGTTTTCCCCTTTTCCCTCCTTACCTATCCCTGCTCAGGCATCCTGTGCAATAGAGATGAGCCCCCTTTTCTCCTTCCCTAGGAAGAAGTACATCCAGTGTTTACTGCCAGTCACAATGTCTGATAAAATATGTTATTAAATGATTTGGTGATTTTATGTTTTCATATATTTTGGGGGTACTTTTAAATTTTTCAGCACTTCTTTTCAGCATGTATTTCTACAATACATAAGTTTTTCTGTTAATCTGTTAAATTAATTATATTTATTTAAAAATTTCAGGGCTGGGATGTAACTCAGAGATAAAGTTCTTCCCTGGCTTGCATGAAGCCCTAGATTTAATCTCAGCACCACACATTTTCAAAAACAATCCTAATCTTAGAGTTTTATTAAACTAGTAAATTTCATTGGCATTTTGATAATAACTAATTGATAAACTTGTAAATGTATTTTGATATAAATATTTAGTACACTTTGGAATTCAAGTTCCACTGCATACATTTTTCATGTTGTGCCATTTTAAACATCCTCATAAACGTAGTGTTTTATAATGTATTTTTTTTCATTTTCATTGTCCGTATATAATCACATAAGTGGTGATAAAAAAGAATCATTGAAAGAGACTTTTCTTAAAACTTTGTTAATTTAAATGTAGTGTGTGTATATGAATATATGGATATTTAGTTCCCTGGTTTTTATGAAGATCATATTATTATTTCTTCATTTATTTAAATTTCTTTTGCAGTACTGGATCTTGTGGCTAGGGCCTCATGCATGAGAGGCAAATCTTCTACCACTGAGCTACAGTCCCAACCCCAAGTTTATGCTTTTTAATGTTATAAACTATATCTTCAGTATTTTCCTTTGCCTTAAATGTGTACTGTACTATCCTGTCAGTGCAGAAAGATAAGGTATGTGAGAAAGATAAAGTATGCACACATATGTGTGCTTGCAGAAATAATAAACTTTATTACAGATTCATGATGTTTTCCTGAGCCCTTTTCCAGTTATCTCACTTAGGAAACACAATGTCAGTTTATTTTTGCTGAACTGTTTAATTCTTTAGCTTTCATTCTGATTGCTAGGCACTTTGGTTCACATATGTGCACTGCCATTTTTAGCTCTTCAACATCAGGCGGGGTCCCTTAGTGTCTGTAAACAGTTTTCTTTCTCCATGGTAACGGGGAAATGTTTTTCTTGTGGACTGTTGTTTTTCTTTGAAATAAACGCATGAATCATGTAGAATAATACACAGTACCTAGAAGTGTCCAGAAGCTTTAGCCATTACTATTGCTGTCATTATCATGCTTTTTAGATTCTGATCTTTCTTTAAAGCTACTGTGGACCTTCTCATTTTTCAACACATGACTTATCCTCTAGCTTATATAAATACTGAATATGACTTAGTGTGTCGGACATAATGTAATATTTTCATAGAGAAAAGCCTGCACCCTTTTTTTGTGCACTTCTTGTTTGTCCACAAAAGGAGAAATATACACTTGATTTAGAGTATTACAACCTGTTCATTATAAAAGTATAATGAACACAATTACAGAGTTATAGTGTGCTTGAAACTACCTTCCTGTGTATGAATATGTTGGAAAGAAAAACTCACTTCATCTTTATCTTTACCACATAGAAAATACTCCAGATTCAGGGGGATTTTTTTCCATATACCGAACAAGCATTCCTAAAGCGCATTCTCTCTTAATTTATTCTGTTTCTGACACCATCCAGTTAGAAATAACCTCAGTTCTGCTGTGAAGGCTCAGACCTGCAGAAGTACACCCGCATCACATGACAGCAACAGATGCAAGTTGCAGCCTGCGGTTCTGAATGATCAGGTGTAAATGGACATTCCCATTCCCACAGTCCCGTTCTGGGTTCAAAGAATTTGTGACAGCAGTTCGTGAAAATCAGCGAAACACTCACCCTTAATATTTCTTGTGAAGCTTGTTAAAAGATGGACACTCAAATGGAAAAGATGCATAAGGCAAGCTGTGGAGTAAATAACATGGTGTGTCCATGCCTTCTATGCATGCTTAACCTTGTAGAAACCTCTAGACATTCATCTATCTTTCTGTTCCTTGGAATCCTGTACTTCAGAGTTTTTCTAGAGGCTTTGTTACATAGGCATGATTGGTTCTATCACTAATATTGCCGATCAGTCAAAAGTTTAAACCCCTTACCTTCCCAGTAGGTTGGGGTAGGAGTAAATGTAATGACTAATACCTCCTAGGTCAGTCTTCATAATGACCAGCTCCTGTCCTGAAGCTGGCTAGGAACCTCTGGCACCATTTACTTCATTAGCATGTAAAATCATGTTTATCATTCTAGAGAGTCAAACTGTGGCTCTGTCCATAGCATAGATCTAGCTCATTCACTTCAGTTGAATTGGCCTTTACATTTCCTTTTTCATTTTATGTGGAGATCATAATTCCTTCCATTTCCCTGTGGTGAATTATGTTTTTCATTTTAGGGTCTGTTGACATTCAGGGATGTGGCCATAGAATTCTCCATGGAGGAGTGGAAATGCCTGGACCCTGCTCAGAGGACTCTGTACAGGGAAGTGATGTTGGAAAACTACAGGAACCTGGTCTGCCTGGGTGAGGATGTCTTCCTTCCAGAGGTCAGACTTGCTCTTGACTCTGCATTTTCCCCTGTGTCTTCATGGAATCCTCTGCATTGTTTGACCGAGACAGAAACCTGTTGCCTCTAAAATGTGAAGCTTCACAATGCAACATCTAGGCTTTAACTATTCTCTTTCTTCAGGTGTTCTGTCCCTTTTGTGATAGATATGTCATTGTTGGTTCAGACTAGAAATATGCCTTATTGCAGACCTTTAGACATCCAGTTCCTTGTTCTTTTTCCTGTGCTTTTGGATCATTGGTTCTTGGAATAGAATTAGATTAGATATCCCTAATTAACAGTGAAATATTTGTCTGCGTCCCTCTGCAGTCCATATCTCAAGTAAACAGGACTGGAGTGTGGAAAAGGCACCACAGGTCACATACGTTTCTTTTTCTAAGCAGGAATCTCTCCTTTTGATCTGAGTGTTGTCTCCATGTTGGTGCAGGGGGGAGAGCCCTGGAGGGTGGATGGCCAAGTGAAAGTATCCGGAAACCAGAATGAGTGGGAGTGTGTCCGAGGTGTGAACACAGGTGAGAGCTCAGATGGGCAGAGGGGAAGCTGCACAATGACACTGTGTTTGGGAAACTTCAGTGGTGGGAGAGGTGTCTTAGTTACTTTTTACTTGTCCCTGAGACAAATACCTGATGCCCAAAGTTGGGAAAGGAAAGGTTTATTTCTTAGTTCTTAGAGGTTTCAGCCCATACTCAGTTGGCTCCAAGGCAGTGTGGCGTGGCTGGGCCGCGGTTTATGGTGGTTGCAAACAGCAAGGCAGAAACTGCCAAGAGAGAGACATCTTTTTCCTGCCCTTATGTCATATTCTGACTCCACCCCTAGGTGGGTGTACCACTCCCACCACTAATCCAAGTGCTAGACAATGAACCAGTCACATATGCTAGATGTGGTCGAATCCATAATTCACGAGGCTTGGGGGCCACTGGCATAAACCATGACAAGAGGTGTGTGGGAAATTATTTACTTTCTCCACTATCATGGAGTAGGGTTTGCTTTTCCACAGGTATGTAGTCACCTGGCAAAAGCAAGCAAGTGGGAAGGAGACAAGACTGTTTCTATTCATTATATTTTATGCAGACTTCTCTCCCTAGAGCAGTGTAGCACTCACACCCTTAATCCTAGCAAGAACTGTGCCAAACCAATCAGTGGGATCACTTACTAATCATACACCCTTAATCCCAGCATCACACACTAAATTTGTACACCTCTGTAAAAGCTTTATGACCACATGAAGTTTTGTGGGTTCATCTAGACACAAACTATAGCAGCATGTCTCAGGACATTTGAGACTCTAGAAAGCATGCTGAGCTGTCGCCACAGATTCAGTCAGCAGCTGACTGGGTCTTGTTTCCAGCTGCTTTCTAGTTTCTGAGGACTGTCACAGAATTGTCTTTTTGTGGCACTGTGAAAATGTTGGCCATATTGTAACAGTGAGGTACCTCGTACAGACTGAGGCCACAGACATTTGGGGTTCAGATCCACACCAACTAATAAGAGCCACATAATGGTTTTTAAAAGATGAAAGTAAGACGATATATAAGTATAGCAGAAATGAGCATAGTCCAGTAATGCACCAAACGGTGAAGCAAGAATATCACCAAAAATGAAAGATCTTGTATGAGACGGCATTTGGCAGGTGAGGGAGAAAACATCAAGCTGTATCCAGTTGGTTTGTTTCTTAATTTCTGTGTTCAGACAAAAGTGACTTGGAGCCTGCAGGCCTACGTGACTGGAAGGGAGCATTCCTAACACCAGCCAGAGCCGGGGAGTGATTGGTTTCGTGTATGCTCCTTTCCTAATAAGTAGTTGGCTTCTTCACAGAAAGATGGCAGCTAAGATCATTTCTGTGAACATCTGTATTTTGCAGTCATTACTTTAACTTTTACCTTGACGCATACAGTGACAGCAACTTCTTTGAGCCCGCAATCAGTGGCATAGAGCAATCTCTTAGCAACGCATTTCTCAACTTCATGGCCTCGTATGCATGAGGCTTTGCAGTGAAAGACCCTTTATTCCCTGTGTGGGTCATTTTTTATTTTCAACAGCAGACCTTTGCCCAGGCCTTTGTTCATTGTAGTGAAGTTCAAACTTACAAAAATATGCTTTTCCTGCATCTTGCTTAGACACCTTATGAAGTTGAATGATGCCTTTTAACATGCACTATCACTTAAGACAGTGTTCTTCCTTTCTCTACCTTTCCACATAGTATAAATGAACCTTTTTGTGTGTATAATCAGCAGCTTTATATGTTTTATGATACTTGTAATGTTCTTTGTTTTATATCTTCAATTTGTAAGACTATTCTGTTGGGGACGGTCTTATTGATTTACTTAATTAGAAGATTTTCTTCACTGCAGAAAATAAAACTCAAAATTTACACAGTTCTAGAATTTTGTGAACAGTCTTACTGTTTCTAGTTTTGTTTCATATAACTTAGAACATACCTTTAAAGTACACTTTTGTGTGTTAAATTCATTGTTTTCAAATTTGGAACTTGATGTCCCTAACTATCATTTTTTGCTATCTTTAGACAGGCATTCCTTCTTTTGTTATTCAACAGTTTTTCCCCTTATAGTATGTTCTCAATTTTAAAAATTTACTTGCTGGATTTTATTTACATATTTCTGATTTGTTATTCCCTGGAACAAATTCCATTATTCCTTTTTTTTTTAATAATTAAAAATTTATTGGTACATTTTAGGTATGCATAATGGTCATATTCATTATAGGGAATATGTGCCTGTACATGACACATCTGATTTTTTTCTCATTCCCCTACCCTCCCTTTAAGCTCTCCTCTCCTTCTTGTTTCCATTTTTTCTCATGATTTTTTAAAATTTTCCCTTCCTTTCTTTCCTCTGATCACTTCCTTATTCCCCTTCCCATTTGAACATTTTCTTCCTGTTTCACAATATCTATTATACATTTTGGTACTTAGTAGTATTTACATGCATGTCCAATTTATTCCATTTTAGTATGACCTCAAGCTTTTAGTATGACATTTAGCTTGAAATGTCTCAAACTTATCCTTCTTTATGATACAGTAGTATTCCATTATATAAAAGAGCACATCTTCTTTATTCATTCATGTATTGATCGACATTTGTTTCCAAGATTTAGCTATTACAGACTGTGCTTCTATAAACATAGATGTGCATGTATCAGTGTGGTATGCTTTTAATTCTTTCAGAAAGATACCAAGGAGAAGATTGAATGGAACCTCTAGTTTTTTAAGGAATCTCCATACTGATTTCCACAGTGGTTGTACCATTATACACTCCCACCCTAGTAGATTAGGTTTCCTTTTTCGCCTCAGCCCCACCAGCAACAATTGCCATATTATAATCGTTGTGCTCATCTTGATATATAGTGATACTTCAGTTGTTGAACTGAATTCCATAGAAATTTGTGTTCAAACAATGAAAAGTTGGAGAACTGATTATATGTTTCCCATAAAAAACAATGGACAGCCAAGTAATTGGTTCTGAGGCCTGAAAATTGCACTTAAATTCTTTTTTTTATGACTTTAACAAATATCGTCCTGTCGCGGTTCTCAGTTTTAATTTTTACTGCTGATATCACTTTCTCTTAAGGCATGGTTATGCTGTTTTATGCATAAGGCGCAAAAATAAAAGCACAATGACAAAAGTTTTAATACTCTGACATATGCGCTGTATGTCATCTGGATGAGAAAGGCACTTGAACTGGAGCATCAGCCTTTCCTGTCCAGAGTGAGTCTGCTAGTATATATGTGAATATTATATTTAGTCCAGTGGTTTATATTTTTATGAACTTGCCAATATTAGAATATACCATATTTTTATTGTTGCTTGAATTTAATTCATTTGATTACCATGAATATTTAAATCCCTTTTTCTCTCCATATTATTCTTTCTTTTGCCCCAAACAACTGCCATTCTTGCTTTTGTTCCTATAAATTTGACTCTTAGTGCTACATGTATTTTGGAATTGTACAGTATTTCTATTTTCATGACTCTCATTTAGCATAATATCCTCTGGATTTTTGAATAGTATTCTATAGAATAAGATTTCTGCCATTTCATAGGCTGAGTAATATTCCATTATATATGGGCTTTAGTCTGTTTTCTACTACTATAACTAAATTACTGGAGCTGAATAATGGACAATAAAACGATTATTTAGCTCGTAGTTTTGGACCCTAAAAGACCAGGGTCACCCTATTTGTTCATCCCCTAGTGAGAGCATCTTGGCAGAAGCATGTACAGAAGAGATCAAGCAGTGAGGCACAATATCTGCCTTAAGGGTCAGGCATGACCCTGTATAACAGTGCACTTTCGTAAGAATTTGCTTACTCCACCAGACCTGCGTTAGTCACTTCCGGGGGCAGCACCTACAGTGAGCTACTTCCCACTAGGCTCTACTTCTTCAGGGTCCTTCTCTTCCCAGCATCACCACACTAAGGGCCTGGCTTCTGAAACAAACCGTGGGGAATGAGCCACAACACAACCACAGCCATATTTTGTGAATCCTCTTTTTTTTTTTTTTTTTTATTTTTTTTTTACTTTATTTATTAATATTAAGGAGAAAAGGTAAAACAAATTTTCACAACAAAATAATGAAAAAGTAATAATTGTTGATAAAGTACACAACATTATCTTTAGTCACTCAAGTACAAAATATGGGCATAAAAATTACTTCAATCAATATTAGCACAATCTTTCCTGTTCAGTGAACTAAGTGACACTAATGTTATAACTAACTTGCATTTTTTTCTTTTCCCTTCTATCCTTTCTCTTTTCCCCTATCTTAGTTTCTTCTTTTTATTGAACAGTTTCCTTCCATTTCACAGTGACTATTGTATATTTTGAACCTTATGGTTTCACATATGTCACTGTGGTGTGATGTTTTTCAATCCTTCTGGGAAGATACACAGAAGGGGAATACCTAGGATGAATGGGATCTCTAATCTTAATTTTTTGAGGAATCTCTACACTGATTTCCACAGTGTTTGTACTAATCTACTCTCTAACCAACAGTTGTAAAGGGTTTCTTTTTCCCTACAGAACCGGGAGCATTTTTTATTGGTTGATACACTTTTTTAAAAAAATTAAATGATTTTTTAATGAATAAGGGAGAGGATGAGATAAAAGGGGGCATAACAACATAACAATACAGGTTAAAGCATGACAGTTTCAGCAACCTAGTGCTTCACCACCAAATAACCCGACTTAATAGTAGTTACCATAGTATCTTTTTCTTTGAAATATTTGAATATAACTTCATATGCTATAGCATCAAATATATCAAGACTGTGTAACACCATTCAAGTGGATGAAAGCATTGTAGAGTATTTAGAACCAGCTAACAGAAAAAAATGATCAATGGTTTCAATATTATCTCTTTGCCTATAACAATTTTTGGTTATACTACCACATATGATAAAGTCCAGCAAGTTACAACGTAATAAAATCAATGGAGACAAAAGAACCATAGTTTGGTACAGCTTTAAGACAAGATGTTATTAAATCAGCACTAG